TGGGTGTGCTAATTGTCGTCGTTGCTGTTGCAGGTGCGGTGCTAATATTTGGTTGTTGTTGTAGTATCAACTGTAGCTGTTGTAGATGTAGTAGCTACTGTTGAAGTAGATGTTGTTGTAGAGGTAGGTGTTGTATAGCAGTAGTATTATTTGTTGTTGATGTTGTTGTAGATGTAGTAGTAATATCTGTAACAGTTGTTGTGGTAGTAGTAGTTGTGTTGTGGCTGTAATGATAATAGCCGTAGTAGTAGTAGTAGTAACAGTAATAGCAATAATGATAATAGTAACAGTTATAATAGTAATAATAGTAGTCACTGTAATAGTAATAATGATAATAGTAACAGTAATAATAGTAGTCACTGTAATAGTAATAATAATACTGATACTCATAGTAACAGTAATAATAGTAATAATGATAATGATGATAATAGTAATAATAATAGTAACAGTGATAGTAATAGCAGTAGTCATCTGCAGTAATTCCGGTGCTAATAGAAATAGTAATGCAAGGAGAAATACCAATAAAAACCATGATGCCGGAACCCAACTGCCTTTCGATGTGAAGTCAGGGAAGAGATGCATATAATGACAGACAGAGAAGGGAACAGAAGAAAAAGTGAAAGACAGGTGTATATGTAAACAAACAGATAAATTAGATCGAATGATATATGGGTGGAAGGATTAGTAAATATATTGGCCATATAAGTCAAAGGGAGAGCAAGTGGATGAGACGGACTCAGGCAGATCCACAGGTAGGTATCTGAGTGGATGGATGAGATGGAGAAGATGGATAAATTTCAGAGAACTAACATCATCAACCTGTCACCTTGTCATCAGAAAATAAATCATAAACAGATAAATAGATAAAGAAAGAAAGAAAGAAAGTGAGCAAACAGATGAACTAATAAGAAACACATATACTGATAAATAAACAAACAAATCAGTAAATTTAAATAATATCAAAATATCCCAAAAAATAGAGAATGGTGGACCGCAAGAAATAGATAAATGCATAGATAGATAAATAGATGAAGGAATAGACAACCAAATAAACAAATAAGTAAATAAAGGAAAATCAATCTCACTTGTACAGTTAGAATAAATTTTATTTAAGATTCAGTGAACTCTGAAGCCATGATTAGCATCCGTCCTGCCCTGAGGGCTGGGCGCGGGGACGCGGGTTCTGGTCTAGACCGAGAGATAAATGTGTAGGTAGATAAAGCGAAGGGGAGAGCTGGAGAATAGGGAGAGATGGAGAGAGGAGGATAGAAAGAGAGAGAGGAGGATAAATATAGAAATAGAGAGGGGAGGATAGAGATAAATGGAGAGAGAGCGAGACAGACAGATAGAAAAAATAAGTAAATACATAGGTAGACAGACAGAGAAAGGGAGATAAAACACAAGAAGAAATAAAGAAATATACGAACCGAACAAGAAACAAAGAATACATGAATATAAAAAGTCACCCTTAGACCTACACGGACAACAAAAAAGAAAAAAAGAAGAAAAGCCCGACCGCCTCCAAAGCTTCCGACCAAACGGGTTTGAACGAGATCTCCGGCCGGACTTTTTATGGGGGGGGGAGGGGGAGGGGGGGGAGGACTGGAGGGAAGGGAGTGTGGACTGGGGAGGAGAGAGGGAAGAGAGGGGAGGGAGGGGGAACGAAAGGGAGTGAGGAGGGAGAGGGGAAAGAGTGGAGAGGAGGGGAAGAGAGGAGTTAGGTGAAGGAGGGAGTTGGCAGGAGGGGAGGAGGAGGAGGGAGGCAGGAGGGAGGGGTTAGGGGAGGGGAAGGGAGGGGCAGGAGGGGAGGGTAGGCAGGAGGGGAGGGTAGGCAGGAGGAGGGTAGGCAGGAGGGGAAGGTAGGCAGGAGGGGAGGGGTAGGCAGGAGGGGAGGAGGGTAGGCAAGGAGGGAGGGGTAGGCAGGAGGGAGGGGTAGGCAGGAGGGGAGGCAGGAGGGGAGGTAGGCAGGAGGGAGGTAGGCAGGAGGAGGAGGAGGGGAGGGGGTAGCAGGAGGGGAGGGGAGGCAGGAGGAGGGGGTAGGCAGGAGGAGGCAGGGGTAGGCAGGAGGGAGGGGTAGGCAGGAGGGGAGGGTAGGCAGGAGGGAGGGGTAGGGCAGGCGGAGGGGGGCTAGGCAGGAGGGAGGGGTAGGCAGGAGGGGAGGGGGACCGGGGAGATGAAAGGTCACTGGAGCGGAGGAGCAAAACGGGAATGGGGGGGGGGGGTGGGGAGGGGGTGCGAGGGGTGAGAGATGGAGGAGAAGAAGAGAAGAGGAGGGGGGTACTGGAGAGGAAGAGAGAAAAGGAGGAGAAGGAGAAGGGGGAAGAGGGAAGAAAAGAAAGACGGAAGAGGGAAAAGGAGAAAGACGAAAAGGGGAACAGGAAAAAGACGGAAAAGGAAGGAGAAAAGAAGAAACGAAGAGGGAAAAGGAAAAAGACGGAGAAGGAGAAAAGAAGAAAGACGAAAAGGGAAAATGACAAATATGAAAGAGAGGACGAGAAAG